GGGGCCCACAAACAAAAAGTTCAAATTTGCGTACATGGGGCGTAGAGTTGTAAAATTTCTGATATAATAAAAATAAGTATAAAATACGGCGAATTGGGGGGGGGAGCACGGGCCCCATGTGCCCCTCCCTTAAATACGCCCCTGAATACTAAGTATATATTTTTATCATAACAGTCGGCCTATTTTGTTATGGTTATATTATTTAACCATTAGTATTTGATTTCACTGTTGGTATTATGTTAGATTGATAGTTAATTTAATTTTTACTGAAAACCATTGCATGTATTATTATATTTTAATATAACATTTTTAAAACTACTTATGAGGAATGGATTTCATTAAATTTTCAAGYCTCAGCTTGTTAGCTATTAAAATTTTATATTTTATAAATGTTAAATTTAAAAATTGTTTGCAAATGCTCGTGATTTAATCATTATTTGAAGATGTTTTAAAATAAAATCCTTATAAAAAAATTGTAACTATACGGACCTTAAATATATTTTTAAATAGCTATGATAACTTGTACAAAAACCTGTATTTTCTTAGTTTTTATTAATTTTTTACTCTCATAAGAATGCATAAATTCAATAACAACATGTAAAAACATATAAATCGGGTCTTCATATATTATATTTTGTTTACAAAAAAGAAAATTTGTATTATACAGTACTAGTTAGCATATAGTGAAAATATTTTAATTTATAAATAATATATAATGTTATAGTAAACATAATTAGAACATCCTGTATCATAAATCTAGAATTTACATCATAGATTATATAATTCTTTATAGAATTATTGTAAATAAACTGAAATAAATTCACTTATTTTTATAAAGCTGAGTGTGAATGATGATACTTCACAAATAATACTGCTACCAATTCTTTACACATTTCTTCTAAAATTACCGCATTGTTAAATAATATGACCTCAGAATTTCTGAAAAATGAAGTAATACACATTATCATTGTTTATTTAATGTACTTTTCAATTTTACTTTTCTTTTAATAATTGAATTGAAGTATTATTTAAAATACGTTTTCTTGCTTGAGCTAACGCTTCATTGTAATTTGGGAATGCTAATATCTTCTTATGTAGTTCTTTTAGTACATGACAAAGTATCATGTACAATGATGGTACATTACGTTTTAATGGTAATGTTGAATTTAACAAATATTCATGCAGATATGGATGAGGCAAAGAACTTAAAAATATTAAAATTATTTTTAACTGTAAGGTAATAGATGAGTTCTAAAAAATATTTAAAAATAAATACAAAATTACCATATATTTTAAAACAAAACTTATTAGAATTAATTATTAATAATAACCTGATTTGGAATGTTGTTGATTTTTTGAAAAATCATTCTTAAAAACGGCCCTTCATCAAAATCATATAGTTTAACTGAATCTAATGCTTCAGTAGGCCAATCAAATTTTATACATTTATCAAATATATTCTCATAGTTATTCTTCACATCTGTTATGTAATCTTTGAATGTATGAAATTGGTCTGAATGTAAATTTTGAGGAATCAATGCTAGCAACCTAAATATTACAGAAAAAAAAATGCCAAAAAATTGATAATTGTGGCATGCATATTGTAATTTTAAATTATAAACTTGCCGATTAATTATTCTATCAATACTTGAAGGTGCAAGAGTTCGACTAGTGTTAATGTTATTTTCATTTGACAGTATTTTTTTTTCTCTTTCATCTTCTTCATCACTCCATGTTCCTGATGTACATCTTTCATAATAGTTTCTATTATTGACAAATCGTAAAATTATAAGATCCAAAATTTCTTTATCTGAATCAAGTAGTACATCCTTTAATAAAATAAAACAATTTTTATTTCACTAATGATACAGTTTATATTAATGATAATTGATAAATTTAAAAAGTACTATAAAAAAATTGAGAATGTTGAAAACAAAAATGTCATCAGTAGTAGAAGACAATTTTATTAAAATGTCTATTGGTGTTTGTTTATTGTAATAAGAACAATCAAGCTCTGACCGTAACCAATAATTCATTGCTGCAAATAAAATATTCTCAAGTTCTATTATAAATATCATACAATTATTAAATGTAAATATAGTTAAATTAACAATACCTACTATGATTTAAAGGCGTATGATCWGCTGCTTTATAGATTTTTTTTAACAAAAAAACATGAGAAGACGACATTTGCTCTGAAGTATCAAATAATTTAATAAAAAATAATATTCTTAATGATTCGCACAATGAATAAGATATTTTTAACTGGCCATCTCTTATTAACTACAAACGAAATACAAGTAATTAATATCTTTAACAATATTTCAAGAAGTAAGAAACATACCTCAGTAATAAAATTTAACCAACATAAAAATTTAGTGACATCGTTTGAATAAGTGGCATTATAATCATCCCTATATGAACATATTGTGACCATTCGATTAAATTTGTTCCACAATACACATGAAGCATATTTGTATACGTATCTTAATAGAAATTAATATTAATTTCCGCTCACCTCCAATTTAATTCAATTGTTTCTAGTCCATTGTAATCCAATGTAGTTGGTAATGCACAAAACAGATTTCTGAAATGTTCGCTTATTGTTGAACATAGTTTAGTCTTATTAATTATGAAGTCTATCACATTTTCATCATTTAATTTAGTCAACAGCAGTATACAATTACAACATTTATAGTATACATCTGTATTCTAAGAAAAATTATCTATATTAATTTATATAATATATTAATTAAAACTACATATGATTTCCTTCAAATTTACAAACCTTGGTATTGATGTATGTTAATACACAATCCAATAAATTTAATCTCCTTAATGTACTTGATTCTGTTGATGGTGCTTTTGCTTCTTCCAAATGATGCATATTGGCTTCCTAATAATGATTTTAAATTTATTTCAATTAAAAAATGCAAATGTTTAATGTATATTATAATACATTACATATGAAAAAAACATAATTGAAACATTTGGTTGGTCGTTTAACAGTGTACACAACTTGTATAAAAATTGAATCTGATCTTGTTGATGTTTATTATACAAAACACTGTCGCATAAATTAATTAACTTCTAAAAATAAAATWTACAATTAATAAGTATGGTTCTTTAAAATAAATCTTAGAACACATATTACTTGAATAGTGAAGAAAAAAGACTGATGAGCTAATACTGGATTTCTTAATTGACTGATTAGATTTGTCATAAATTTTAAAACTAATATCCTAATGCCAATTAATTTTTCTTTTTCTGCTATAACTGCTAACATATTAAATAGGTCGTTTTTCAATGCATATTCCATGCACAAGTTAGTGGTGATTTCTTCAGTTTTGTCTTCACATAGTAATATCTAAAATAATATAATAGATAGGTACCTATGTGAATATTGTTTTGAAATTAATTAGAAATTTTTTATTTTATTTGACAACATTAGGAATATAGTGGCCTAGCTACTAGGAAATTAAGTAGTGTCCCATTTTTATTAACATTTAACAAAATACACATAATTATAAGGTATAAGATATCTGCCTAATTATAATTGTTTTAATACATTAATGAATTCAAATTTATTTACTGTTTTTTGTTGTACTCTTTAATTTATTTCATTGTTATAGTTTATAATGTAATCTAACAATTCTTTCAACTAACTGCTTGGGTCACAAGTAATACTTATAATCAGTTTAACATTTTTAATAGTTTCTTTAATAAATACCTGTTGAACAATTTCCAGATGGCTAGGTACATTGGTTTCCTCTATGCGAGTTTGAGAAAATTGGCCATCTGTTGTCCACTCTAAGTAATTAACCATAAATTTTTCCCAATGATAAATGAAATTTTCAAATGCTGGAGTTGGTGGGGCAATCTAAAAAACATTTCACTTTACTAAATATTTTATGTAAATTATGAGTGAAGTGTTTTACATTAAACGATTGTATTTACAAATAATGATTTTCTTTAAATAAAACAAAATAATTATTTCACAACTTACTGTATCCACAACTGAATCTAAAATTGTATTTAATACTGGTATCATATTTATAATTTTTTTTTATTTATAATAAAATATTTACAATATATTATATTTTATCTATTGTCAGTTAATAATATTCAACTATAGAGAATTATAATTTATAGAGTATTGAGTTTTGAGTATAGACTATTAGATATTAGTATATTACACTAGCATTAAATAACTATAGAGATAAGAGTATCGGAGTACATTAACAATTAACATTACTACATATTCAGACTATCAGGGTATTCTTATCAAATTGAATACGTTTATATGATAAAACATTGTGGTATAAACATTTTTATTTTTTAGGTTATAACACTGTAAACTTTTTTTKTAGATTATTAATATTAAATAATGTTCAACATCTTGGCTCACAGAGTCACAGACTTGACTTACAAAATTTGATTAAAATTTAAAATTATATTGAACTAAAAACTAAATTAAACCAAAAAGTTATAATAATATGACATATTATAATAAAATTATACCTCTCAATTAAATTAATTGTATATTTTCTAGATTAATAATGCGTTTTTACAAGTATTGTGATCTTGTCAATGCTAATACTAACTATGCAAATCGGATGAAAATGCTCAGCAATCGTATTTTTGGTGATGTTGTACGGCCAACTAATGAAAAATCTATGAGGGTATGAACTAACTTTATTTCAATGCCAATTTCTTAGTATCAAATATTTTTATTATATTTTTTATATTTTTAAAATGATCAGGTAGTGAAAATGTTTAGTGAAGAACCATTATACAAAAAAGAAAATGTCATTAACTACTATCCTCGTCATATAGAGACGGGATTATTAATGAAAAAACTTCGAGAATATGGTTTGTTTAGAGATGAACATCAAGACTTTATTGAAGAAATGAAAAGACTCAAAGCTCTTAGGGGAAAAGTATTTGTTAAAGGAGAGAAAAAAAGAAAAGCTAARAGTATTATATAATTGTTCAGTCATTCAAAGTTGCATTCTTGTACTAAAACTAATCATTATGTTCTTAGAGACAATTTTTCTTAGTAAAAAAGTTGTAGTTATGTGTTAATAAAAATATGATTAATTAATTTTATTAGATCTTTATATTTTTATTTTTTTGTATACCTTACAAGTCATATTTAAAAAAATCTAAACAGTTAGCACTAGTGAGATATTTGATGGTAAGGTTATAACCTCCCCTTCAAATAATTTTGATCTTCTTTCAAATTTTGCAATTGATGTAGTATGTGGTTGTAAACTTGTATAATTTGTTTAGCAATTTGAAAAATAATCGTGTTATGTATAGTGTATATTTAATATGCATTATCTAAAAATAAATAAACTAAACGAAAATATCTGGATAATATGTGCTATTTTTTTTTTCTTCAAAATGAATTGAAAAAGGTTTAATTTTTAATTCTGTCAAATCATTTTTTCTTCTAAAGTTGTATTTTTAAGATCTAAGAATCACTAATGACATCAGTGGCGTACCCAGGGGGGGGGGGCTTAGGGGGCTTCAGCCCCTCCCATTGGCCATGCTTTGGAATACATTTTATATTATAAAAGACAAAGTACAAACCATGATATTTCTAAAAAACGGTATTGAATACAACATATTATCTTTAGTAACAATGACCTAGTCTAAGCAAAGCATAAACGTTATGTTTATTATGGTACCGAATACCGATATAGATTTAGCCCCCCCCCCATTCGAAAATCCTGTGTACGCCACTGAATGACATCATTAAAAAATAGTATATTTATATTCTCTGCAATAGTTTTTACAGAACTACAAATACAAATTATTTCAACAAACAGTTATACAGTATTATCCTATGATTATATTTCAAAAAAAAAAAATGTATAATTTATTATAATAGTTATAGCCTAGCCTAGCCCGTTTAATCATGAATGGGTAAGAATAGACTAATGATTTTCTTTAAAGCTGTTGCGACACCCTATACCTAAAATTGCCCTATATATTGTTGTCCAKTGGTTGTATGGCAATAAGTGGAATGTTAGTTTACGTACATTTAGATGTTTGATTGTTAAAACAGCACATTTTGTTCCAGTAGTCTGGTTTAAATTATGTTGAGATTTGTATCCATTAATATTTGTACTAAGCTATCTAAAAAAATATTTTTGAAGTTTCATTTAATAAGTCTTAAAGTCAAAAATATTTTTTATTTACCTTAGACCAGGCCACTAGCACATAGTTTAAATAAAATATTCTCTTTTAATAGTTTTCACTAATAAATTAGTATATTTTGAGACAATCTTCAGAAAAATTAAAAATATTTTAGAATTTAAAGTAGTTATATATACCTTTTTCAATCCAGCGAGTATAGTAAAGAAAAATTAGAAAAGTTTCCCAGGAAAAAGAAAAATTTGAGAAAATCTGAAAATGATTTTTCCATGGGATTTTTGTTTGAATTATATTTATTCAGCTATGATTACCATTGGTAAATTGATTACATATTATAATACTATTATAATTAGTAAAAAAATGTAATATACTTTTTTACTAGTGTATTATTTAACAAAACAATTTTTGGCACTTTAATGTCAAATTATTGGTTACAGAAAGTATTTATTATTTTAGTTTTGTTCATTCACTCATGATTGTTGAATGCCAGAATGCCTCACTCACACGCGTCACACATCTTGACTATCTTTAGATGGCTCATTGGTCAACAAACATTAAGTACCTACTGTCAATGGGAAATTAATTTTTTAAATGTCTCCTTATTACTTAACCTAAATTAATGAACCTAATTAAAACTTAACAGACCATTTCTCTAAAAAGTTATATTATAGATTCTTTGAGACTTGGAAGGAGTTCTCATTATTTTTTTAATCTTTATATGCTATAAGTAGCCTATTATTATAGGTAAGAGTTAAGGATAGCTTGTTATATCGGTATAAAAACATTTTAAAAATGATTGGAAATTTGTGGGTCGCTCTAAATATCTGTTTTTTTATTAAAATTTAAAATGTTATCATTATTCTCTCAATGACTAATTGACCTGCAACAAAATGATTAAAATACCATAATTATTTATCCATATAAATTCATTTTTACAACTTCATCAAGCTCTTTAACAAATAATTTTGTTTTATAAAAATTGATTTACAAATTAAATCTGAACGTTATGTTATAAATATGATGTATGTATGTATGTTTCAATATTAAATTTGTTAAAATAGGTTTTTCGTTGAATACAATTCAAAATAGTTTAGATGCACGCGATACGGACAAGCATACGAGCTTGGCGTTACAGTCCATCCCAATATAGTGTTAATCAAAGAGACATTGTGTCGCCTCATCTTCCAATAATGGATACGTGAGTACAGGAGGAATTTAATGTGAGTGGGCTTTACTATCTACACTATGAGACATGTCTCGCCGTTCGTATTCCTTTTATCTCAGTCGGTTCAGTCTGACTGAACTCAGTCAGTCAGTCAGAACTGACTGTTCTCAATAATTACGAATATTATCGATGTCACCTTTGCGTTTTCATGCCATCATCCACCGCAAATCGTAATAGGTGCAATATGTTTTTTAACTTTTTTTTTTTCCAATATCTCTCCAACCAAAAAATCACGCCTCGCCACTGATTAATAGAGATATTAAAGCTACCTGCTTAATAAAAAAATCCTATTAATGATAGCTTTATAGTCTATGTATAATTGCTTTATAAAAGAAGAAAAAAGAGGGAGTTAAATTAACTTGCACTATACCAATGTGTATAATATGAGCATTTTCATTAGAGCATCAGCCATACATCTTTTCGGTCATTTTTTAAACTGTTTAAAAATGGATTTCGATAAAATGTTAATAGACTTTGGTGAATATGGCTCGTACCAAAAACAGCTAATCTGGTTAGTCGTTTTACCTTGTGTTTTGCCATGCGGATTTCATGCTTATAATCAATTATTTATGGCTTCCATCCCCGAACATTGGTGTAAAGATGAATAGTAAGTACCTATAAAATATAATATATATTATGTTCAATAGATTAATTTGTTATTAATGTTTTATTTTATAAATAAATGGTATGCTTTATTTTCAGCAATTTTAACTATACATCTAAAATTAATCAGTGTCTGGATTCAAGGAATAACACGTGCAAATTTTGGGATTATGATCATAGTCGATATTTATCTACAATTGTGACTGAAGTAAATTTAAATAATGCATTTTTATTTGAAAAATAAATTGTTAATTGTTAGTGTTTAATAAATTGCTGAACGTTATTAAACAGTGAATTAACGATATAATTATTATCCAAAATCATAGGGTTTGGCTATTKCAATATTACTTATTTTTGGATTTATAGAAGCACTTACCTAATTTTATATTAGTACATACCTGTACGTCCATAAATCGCGGTGGCATACCTACGTATAGACATTGGTTGTTTCAAATGTACTGTTAATTTGTATTCAAATAATTTCTAAGAAATTATAATTTAAAATGTATGGATTTTATTTTTACAGATTACAAAATATATTTTACCTTAGTTAAATCATAGRTAGGTACACTGATTCTAAACATATTTGAAAATCCCACTTTATTAATCATTGATGTGCATTAAATTATTTTTGAATAGTACATCCTAATTAAAAGACCCCTCTGCTTATATATAAACAAAACGTTTTCAAACCTTTTGAATTTCGATCATTACCTACTTTTTTAATGCAATAATTGAAAGGTAGATATTACAACAGTACAACAGTAATAATCATTGTTGTATGTATAATGTTAATGTTCACCAATAAAAGGTTAAATTTAAAAAGTGAAAAGTGAAAAACACTGAGGAACAATAAATTATACACTTCCTCCCACATGATCAAATGCACTACAGATTGGAATTATAGTAGGACATTATCCCATATTCTATACTTCTATACATGTATGTCTGTACTTTGTATAGTATAATGGGTACTATAGGTACCTATCTAATAAAGTATATGACCTTGTAAACGTAAATGAATATATTTTAATTCTTATTGGTTATCATTAATTATCATAGCGTTTTACTTAAATTAGATCTCTATAAACTTTACTCTTGTCATTATTTTTATTTTAAATCCGAAATTTTTGCAAAATTCAATCATATGATACCCATATCAATGCCAAAAGTGTATCATGCTAGGTGTTGGAGAAAATATTACGTAAACCCAATAAAAACTAAGCAGGCACCTCCTTCTACAGAGATTATAAATACATCCCTACTATATATCTACTATTTAGCTACCTTCGTCAGGGTCATAAAAAAGTTAAAAGTTCGAATGTCATTATTAAATGAGATATGATACTACTGCAAATTGCAGCAATACGAATCAGCTACATTAGAGCAAAAAAGAAACTAGAGATGAAATTAAGGGGGTGTTAAAATACTATGTGAGACTTTTCTTCAAAAGTATTCTTTACATAACCGTCTTAATGTCTATATAAATAGTTCTTTTGCAGTCACATAGAATCGGAAAATAAAAATGTATTAATAATTATTTAACACTGACCAGAAAAACCCACAGTTGGAATTTGATGACCAAATGTTTCAAATCAAAAATCTCATTAAATAATTATGTTTGAACTTTCATAATTAGTCGGTTGGATTTAGATATCTATGTATATAAAAATGGATTTCAGTCTGTTTGTTTGTCCTTTATGCATTCCTAAACCGCTGGACCGATTGCGACGAAATTTGGTACAGAGCATCAGAGCTATATTAGATCTATGGGCAGAAGATAGGCTAAGTTAAAAAGTGATAGGCCCAACCTCGGTAGGTGCTCACACAAACATTTTTAGATTTACGATGAAAATTGTTGTTTATTTATTAATATTTGTTTATTATTTTTAAAAATCTTAATATATAAATGTGAAATCAAAATCTTTGTACGGTGTGAATTCTAGAACTACTTATCAGGACTTGTTTTTTTTTTTAAGCGAAATAGTACATTGTGGA